CTCCTTTTAGGAGGCAGTTACTAGACCAGTTTGTCTGAAAGATTTGACTTGGTTTAGTAACTCCTCCGTAGCCTTGCATCATTCTAGGATGGTTGTAGAAGAGGTCATAGTATATTAATAGGGGAAACTCTAGCTACCTGTCCAGTGGAGCTTACTGGATAATCCTTCCCTCACTGTGTAACACATGGGACAAGAATTTGCCCAGCCTCGTCCATCTTGGGTTGCCAAGTCAGGCACTTTTTCAGACTATTACATCTGACAATATTAACCTCAGTCTTAATTCATTCTTACTGTATGTAAATATTGTGATGATTAAACATGTGCTGATTTTTCCTCCTCATATGATCCTAATCCCATTCCATGTGTAATGGTAATTTAAGGTAATGAAGATGTAAGTATATTTTTAATCTTTCTAATACTTGATGATGAACCTGCAGGTTTATGAAACAGTTATTAATGTAATATGGTTGACTATGTAAATTCTTTATTATTACTATTATTTTTCATTGTGATTGAATAAGTATATTGCAGTTATTATCCTGCCTACTATCTCCATCAATTATACTAGCTTTTAACTAGACCTTTTTAAAATCAATTCATTGTGGTTTTTCTAGGATGGATACAGTCTTAATAAACCACGTGGCTTTGTTTTTTTAAGAAATACTTTTGTGAAGGAAAAAATGCCCCCAAACCTCCTTGTCTCTCTTCTGTAACTTCAATTCAGTTTTAGTATAAAGGTAACGTGTTTTAGATCATGAAGGGAAATTGCACAAAATCAGCTTGTTTGGGAAGACCACAATTAAAATCACTTGCATTTTTCCATGTTTACTTTAGGTGTCAGCACATCTCGTTTTTACCAGATGGTTTTCTTGCTCAGGAGGTTAAGCTGCTGCAGTCGGATCTTCGATTTGAACATAGCCGTCAGGCAATTCAGGAAGTTCAAGCTAACAGCAAGACAAAACTTGTTCCTTGTAGTGCAGGTGAGTTAACTTGGGCTAGTTGCATAACTGGGTGCAAAAGTCCAAATGGAACATCATTCATTACCAGTGCTAGAGGCAAAGTGTGACTTACAGCAAGAAATTAATTTCAGGCCAGAACTTAGTTGTTAATAATTAATAATATTCAGCTCAGCCTCTAGTTCGCTGTAGGGAGTTTTCAGACGGAATAAACACTTGGTTGATGCCATTAAGAATTTATAATCTAAACAAAGACAGAAAATAACCAGGGAAGGCAAAAGTTCTGAGGGCAATAAGAAAACAAAAATATCAAAAGACTTCTAGTTTCAGTTAGTTTTGCATTCTCCTTGGTAAAGAGCTGAAGACTTGCCATGACAAGTTATGCTTGTAATTGCTCCAGAAATCTGTGAACATAGAAAGAATGCAGAGTAGTATAGTGTGAAGGTTTAATTGATAGAGGTTTTGGACGTTGCATTTTTTGTCATGGTGATGAATGAATATGCAAGTCACGTTGTGATTTAGCAACATGGTCTCATTTGGGGCAAAAAAACCGATGGAACTGCCACTGTATGTGTATGGTTAAGAAGTTTCTTTAAACTTGGACATGCCTGCCGTCTGCTGTTGTATACTTTTCTGGCTTAACTGGAACTGGAAGTTATTCTGTTACAATGGAGCTGATGATAAAATAGAATGGATACAAAGGGTTCCTTAATGGAATTCAGAGTCATTAAATTGGAGTTATTTACAGGTGCCAGGAAGGAAAAGATTTTGATTCTGTGAGATAGGAAACAAAATCCATCATTGAAAAATGGTGCCAATTCACTTAGCAAAAAAGATACGAAGCAAACTGTGGCTAAATTCCTGTGTATGCCTGCCTTTCTGTACAGTTATTTGTGTCATTCTGTTAAATAAGGATGAATGATGCTTTATCACACTTTTTTGCATGTATGAATTATGCCAGGTTGTTTTTTTTCTTGAAGAGGTGAAAATCAGAATAAACTCTTAAATTCAGGGCTGTTACACTGAGTATTGAAATGTGCTTGATAATAACATTTCAGCTGGTATTTTTAAAAAGAAAAACGTGTTCAGTTCAGTATTTTGAAGTTTGTGATAACTCTGAAGAAATGGAAGAATAGAAAACGTTTTCATTTTTAAGTAAATTTTTATCCTGTCAGAATCTGATATCCTCTGACCAGGTGGTTTTAGATACTCCACACGTCGAGGGTTTAATGTTTAATACCAGTTGTATGTATTTAATGTTATTTGACATTAAAGGACAAGGATTTTAGTTTAGTAAAGTGACAGAACATTGTACCTAAATCACAGTGCAAGTACAATTTACATTTAGCAGGGTATGGCATACAGTTGGTTTGTAATACAAGTGTGATTAACATAACGAGTCTCCATAATAGTCTTTATAATGTGTAGTTTTTGAGCATCTTGAATGGGAAGATGGTATCACAAAGGAGGGAAGCTATGAAAATAGTCTTTAGAGTTAATGCGTGTGCAGCTGTTTTGCCTGTTAGGAACAGAGAGAAATAGGAGAACTTGGAGAACAAACATTGCCTCGAGGCAGGAGAAGTTAAAGGAACTGTTGTTAGGCTATCCAGGGACAGATTGGGCATGTCAGTCGGTTCTGTTTCTGTTAACAGTTGCTGATGCTTTGCTAGTTATTTATAAATCTGTAAGGTATGGCATGCAGAGTTTGGTCATTAAGACGTTTACAGTCTAAGATGGTAGTAAGGTTACCAGAATGGAGGTAAAGGATAAGGTTGTTGGCACTTGCTATCACTTCAAACAAATTATTTTTATTTGACTAGTATATTATATTTATTTGACTAGCTAATAACGTTTTCCAAGTAAAGTCTACAGATTTTGATGTGTGTCAGCTATCAAACATAGAACTGTGTAGAGTATGCAGTACACAATAAGATAATAGCGCACAATAAATTAATAAGGAAAACATAGAGTGACTGGTGAAAGTATGTTGGGGGAGTGTTTCACAGCCTGATATGAAAGTAAGCCATCTGACTTGGAAATTTCTTCATGCTTTGTTCAGACAGGATGCACAAAAGAAAGTAAAATCCCCCTAAAGAGAGGAGAATTAGAAAGCTGGAGGCCACATACTTAGAGGCGTGGATTCTTGAAGGAGCCGATTAAGATGAAAGCTCTGTGTTTGTGTGTGTTTTATTGCTATTTTTAAACAGAATTTACTTGTTCTTTCAGGTACTGGAATCCCAGCCCTAGAGAACCATGGTCCTCTTTCTAGTTGAATTATTTTGGGAAGCGGCATGGTATCATGTGAACAGGCAGAATGAAAGGAACTGTTAAATTCTGCTTTTGTGATGAGAGTGTCCCCCTTGTAATCCTTTCTTGTACAGCTATCAGTTGGAGTGCAGTCCCTGAGCAACCTCTGGATGTCACCTCAGATGGCTTCCGGCAGGGAACAACAAAGAAGGGGATTGGGAGCCATCAGAGCAGGTGTGAGAATGTTGTGGTACCTGGATGCATAAATCTTACTTGTTAGCATGCATGCCTCTGTCAGCCCATGTGATGTGTAGTGCCTTGTCAGAGCAGAGAGAAATCTAGAGAGCGGGGGAAAAGGAAGAGTCACTGTGTAAGGGAGAGAAGGGGAGTTGGAATAACAAAAGTTGGATGAGGGTTAACAAGTTTATCCTATTTCTTCTTTGCCACTGTTGATTAAAGAGAGCATTGTAGATAATGGTGGTGGGGGACTATGATCAATTTTTATTAAAACCCAGCTTATTTATTGGTGAAGTCAGAAGAATTTTTGCTTTGTATTTTCTGGGTTGATGACCGTGGAGGAAATGCGTGTGTTGCGGGTCCTCTTTCTACAGATTTCTTTTCCAGTAAGAGTCAGGCCAGCTGACCTGGATGTATGATTGTTAAAAGTGGTGCTTTGAAACGTGGCTTTCTACCTTAAAGTTTGGAAAGGTTATGAAATGCTTGCAGCAGATTCCTAACACAAAACATACCACCTTACCAATTGTCATTTTGATACTGTGCTCTTTAAGAAACATCATAAACTTCTATCAACCATTAATGTTTAAACGAACAGTTAAGTATTTTTCTTGTGGTTGAGAGGAATTTCTTGTCAACATCTGCAGACAAATTTCTCCATCTCTCTACACTTTTCTCAGTTTAGGTGAGGTGATCAAAATTACCATTGGTCTGTGGAAGTTCAGCTCAATGGTTGGGGTCATGTTTTGGTCTTGGCTGCTTATACTACCAATGTATCAATGGTCATATTGTTCATTTTCCCCAGGCTTTCTGGGAAAGGAAAATAATCCTGACAGTAGTGAATAAAATGTTAAGTAGAATTTAGGCAATTCTTGCGGAGAATGCATTCACATGCCTGCGAGTTGCACGTTCTGAGCTTCTCAAAGGTAGGCCTGACTTGGCTGAAGTTTGTCCTGGTATAGCCTAGTATTTCCAAATTTTCCCTGGAAAGAAGAGGACCAGGAACTTTGTGGTTTGTGACCAGTATTGGTGTCTGGGGTATCGCTAGCGCAGGTAACCTGGGTGACTGTGTGTGTCTTTTGAGACGGGCTTTGTGTGCATTGTAGGATATTAGTTTTCAATAAGTGGTATGCAATGTATTCCAGAAGATGTGTGAAAGATCAGACCAACCAACCAGCTCCTTTTTCTCAGTAGGCTTCAATTTGTTATGTAGCATTTGTGTATCAACTCCAAAACTTTAGAGCCACCTGCTAGCTGCCAGCTTGCACAAAACCGTAGGAACTTAATTATTGTTGAGAGATCCTCCTCTCTCTTTTTTACATGTGCTTAAAATTCATAAAACATTCAAAAGTTATTAGAGAGGGCCTGCAAGACTGTGATTGCAAAGGTCTCATTTCCTGAGGAAATCAGGATTATAAACCATGTCAAGGAATAAGTAAACTGTTTACGCTTGTGACAAATGGTGATAAAAGGAATTTTTATTGTAAAAATAAGGAATTTTGAGGCTTATTGGGGGAAGTGTGTGGTTAATAATAAACAAGACTTGTATTTCTACTCTTTTTTTTTTTTTTTTTTTTTTTTTTTTTTTTAGCAAATAGGATGTGACAATTAAAGTGACACTTTAATGGCAAATGGATCATGCCTGAGATGAATACCTGGAAGCTACATTTTGCTAATCCTCCATTTTCTACCTTTCTCTGACTCCCCCCCCCCCCCCCCCCTCCCCCCCCCCCGAACACTAAGTATCAGGGAAGGTAAAGCTGACTGACTAAAAGGAATTTGTAGGTAGATGTCTGGTATGTGCTTTTGTTAATGCTTAATTAAGTAAAACACCAAAAACTACAGTATGAACCTTTGATGGAATAACATGAAGATGAAACTCTAGAGCATCTTTGCACGCCAATTTTGGGGTTCTTAAAGAACATACTAGCAAAACAGGAAGGTTTTTGTGGTTGATGGGTCATTTTCAATACTTCTGGAGAATTAGCTTGCACATGTTGGGGAACTGAATTAGTCATTGTGAAGACAAGTGTATAAAGAGAATATAATTAGAGAAAATAGCTGGGGCTTTCAAAAACCATGCTTTATAAACAGTTCTGGTTGCCTTCTCTTTGGGGGAAGAGAAGGCCTTAAAGCTGACAGAGATGCATATGTTATCTTTACAAGACTTTCAGACTTCGACTCGCTTTAGTTTTTCATGAGTTTCTTTGTATTTAACTGTGCTGCAGCTGTTGCTGAATGTGTCCTCGTCACCATTGTGAAAAGGACAGGATTGTTCCAGATATTTCTGGTGGTTCTTTTGTTTATTCTGAATAATACAAAGTTTGCCAGTTTGGACAAGCCTTTGGAGTGCTTTTGTGCTCGTTTGATCACTTCTGGGACTAGTCCTTCTCGCTCAACCTTGCTGTAGCTGCGAGCTGATGATGGTGCAGTCTCGCACAGATAACAATGTGGGGACAGTAAAATGTTCTCTCAACAACCTGACAGTGCTGGCTGGGACAATGAGGGCAATGCAGCTCTTTGACAAGGTGACATTTAAAACAAAGGGAAAAGACAGGTGGGCAGCTTGGATGGGGTAGGAAAAGTTAAATTTTGGAGATTTTTTTTACGTTCTTTGAGAAGTGAGCATAATTTTTTTTAT